GTTATTCCCTTCTCTCTGCTAAGTTTGAATTTAGTTTGTTCTCCTTTGGTATTTTATTCCTTGAGGTATAAAGTTAGATTGTTTGAGATCTTTTTTTAATGTAGCCATTTACCCCTCTTACTACTGCTTTTTCTGTATCTCATAAGTTTTGCTACATTTTGTTTTCAGTTTCATCTGTCTCAACAAGAAATTTTTCAAGTTGTCTTTTGATTTTTTATTTGATCCAAAGGTTGTTCAAAAGAACATCATTATTTAATTTCCATATATTTGAGTTTTCCTGTTTTCTATTATTGATTCTTAATTGGATTCCATTGTGAGTGGAAAATGATTCTGAGAATAATTTTGATTCTCTCAAATTTAAGACCTGTTTTGTGACCTAACATGAATTATAATGGAGAATGTTTCATGTGCACCCGAGAAGAATGCATATTCATTTGCTGTTGTGTTAAAAGTTCTATATGTATCTGTTAGGTCCATTTGGTATATATTGCTATGCAGTTCTATTTACTTATTAATTTTCTGCCTGAATAATCTATTCATTAGAGAGACTGGAAGTACCTATTGAAGTCACCTACTACTAATGTCTTGCTATATCTCCCTTCAGATTTTTCAGTTTGTTTTATACATTTAGGTGCTTTGTTGGGTGAATACATACAGTCATGTACCACATTACATTTCAGTGAACAATGGACTGCATATATGACAGTGGTTCTATAAAATTATCATACCATATTTATTTTTACTTTACCTTTTATATGTTTAGATACATAAATATTTACCATTATGTCACAACTACCTACAGTATTCAGTATAGTAACATGTTGTACAGGTTTGTAGCCCAGAAGCAATAAGCAATACCATATAGCCAAGGTGTATAGCAGGCTATGCAAACTAGGTTTTACCACATCTAGATTTGTGTAAGTATATGCTATGATATTTGCATAATGATTAAATCTCATGACAAAATTACCAAACAATAAAGTTTTCAGAATATATTCCCACTGTAAGTGATGCAAGTCTATCTTTATAACTTTTATACTTTTCTGTTGAACTCTTTTGTCATCATATAATGACCTTTTTGTCTCCTGTGACTATTTTGACTTATAATATATTCTGGCTGATATAGCTACCCCTGCTCTCTTCTGAATATCATTTACATGGAAATATTTCTCCACTCTTCACTTTCAGTCTGTATGTTTCCTTGAATCCAAAGTGTCTCTCTCATAGACAGCATACAGTTGGCTTTTTAAAACAACAACAAAGAAACACGGTCTCACTCTATTGCCCAGGATGAAGTGCACTGGCACAATCATAGTTCACTGTAACCTCAAACTCCTGTGCTCAAACGACCCTCCCATCTCAGCCTCTTACGTAGCTAGGACCACAAGTATGCACCACCATGCCCAGCTAATTTTTACTTTTTTTAGAGACAGGGCCTCACTATTTGCCCAGGCTGGTCTCAAACTCCTGGATGCTCCTGACATCAAGTAATCTTCGTTTCTTGGCCTCCCAAAGTACTGAGATTAAAAGTATAAGTCACCATGCCAAGTCAGTTGGCTTTTTAAAAATCCATTCAGCCACCCTATTTCTTTTTATTAAGTCCATTTACATGTAAATAATTAATAAAAAGTAAGGACTGTTCTTACCATTTTGTTAATTTATTTCTTGTGATTTTTTGTGGTAGTGTAGTTTCTTTTCTCTTTGTCTTTTGTATATCTACTCTACCTTTTTTGTGGTTAGTATGGGTTCACATTAAACATCTTATAGTTGTAGAAGTCTCTTTTAAGCTGAGAACAACTTAATTTCAATTACATGCAGATACTCTACACTTTGATTTCCCACACACGCTTTTATGTAATGTCAGATTTTACTTCTGTGTTGTATCTCCATTAACAAATTTCTATGGTTATAGTTATTCTTCTAATTTGTCCTCCAATTTATATAATATTAAATTTTTCAATATAATTTTCATGTCACGAAATCTTTTTTCCCCCACAACCATTTAAAAATGTAAAAATCACTATTAGTTCACAGACTGTGCAAAAGTGAAGATAAGCTAATTTTACCCTGCAGGCTCAAATTTTTCTTGTACTGATCAGGTAGAGGATCAAAAAGTTTAGTATCTATTGATTTAGCTAACAAATGATGGTGGCTTGGAAGGTGATTTGCTCTTTGTCCTAGAGGTAGCATCAAAAGACTTAACTGATCATTTGAGTATGAAATGAAGAAATAAGAGGCCTCAGTGATGACTTCTTTTCTGTGGTTTGAGACAAATAAAAATGCCACTTATGATTTTCACAGTAGGTAGAGCAAGAATCATGAATATGATTACCTAAAATGCTCATTAGTCTCTGTATGCCTCACTTTTCTTCTCAGATAAAATGATAATAATCTGCCCTATATGCATCACAGTATTACTGGGAGAGAACTAGACTTATCATAAACGCTTACTAAACCGACTTATAAAACATCTACATCTTATGACTTTATTCTCCATGTGAGATGCAGACTGCTTTGTGATGTATTCTTTCAACTGATTTAATTTTATATTATCTGAAAATTGGAAGTGTTAGGAGAAAAACATAACTTTTGAGGTTAAGTATTTGATACTTTTAAAACTCGACATTGTTACATACAAAGTGTAATTATAAAGAAGATTAGGATAATAAACTCCTAATTTAAATATACATGTCAGGCTTACCAAAAGTGTGCATATTTAGTTTATTCAGAATAATCTTCAATTATTAAAAAGTTATGCACACATATACACACACACATATAAAGTGCAAAAAAAAAGTATCTTTTCATAAGACAATAGTAAACAGATCATGAAGGTACAATTAAGACCAAAGAAAAACTTTTAGCACCTTTTTCACAATTCATAATTGGTTCAAATACAATTTTCTTCATTACCAAAATCATCTTTAATCAATGTACTGTTTTCCAGAAAGTAGCCAGTGTCAATACTAACCCATTGGCCACTGCCGGGTTAGAAAAGGTCAGAGACTCCAAACTGTATTTTTTTAGATATGCTTTTTCACTAACTGCACAAACTGCATTTCTGACCCTTCACATCCTGCTACGAACAAGTACAAGTTTCCTTCTGATTTTTCTCCTTCTATTTCATGTAACTGAACATACACACATGTACAGATGGGTAAAACTAAGCAGGGCTAAAATTAAATGCGAGTAGTCAGGAAATCAAATTAATATAAATAGCTTAATATATTTGCTTTCTTACCTAGTATCCATATATCACTAGAAAATTTTCTTCCAGTTGGACAATATTGGAAGAAAAATCTTATGTTTCTATATAACCCTCTATATACAGAAATATAACAAGTCACATAGCTTCTATTCTATCTCTTTAACTTTCCATTCTTCCTATCCTTAAATTCATTTTCCTCTCATCTCTGATGACTAGCTAGCTAAGGAAATAAATAAATTAGTTTTAAAATGTTCATGAAAAGAAAATGACCCCAAAAAGACAGAAAAGAAGGCAAAGCGGTATGGAGCAAAGAAGGCATGAAAGGTCCTACGTGTCAAAAGACATTCAGTGCAATGTTACTTGTAATGATAAAAGTTGTGGAACAGGCACCTGGTAGATTATGACTATCATTACAATTAGTGATGATATAGTAACATTGAAAATGTTATTAAAAAAAACACAAAATATTAAATTACAACTATGTAAGAATATATACATATCTGAGTCTGAAATAGATTATGAATAAATAATAACAAAAGGTGATGGAATTTCACAAGTTTATTATAATAAAAGTTTTAAGAACAAATCTTTAAGAAAAAAGAAAAAAAAAAAATATATATATATATATATAAAGTGATAATGGCATTAGCCATTCCAGTAACACATCAATGTTTTGTTAAGGAACTTCTAAAGACTCAGGTCTTAACCCAAAGGAGACACTTTATGGCAACAGTCCTTATCATGGAAGTATTACCCTCACCTCACCCCCCAGAGATATTTGTTAGCTGTCAAAATGATTAGGGAGTATTACTAGCACTTTTTGAGCAAAGCCTATTGTGATGGTTAATTGTATATGTCAACTTGACTGAATCACAAGGTGCTCAAATATGTACTCAAATATTATCCTGAATGTTTCTGGATAAGAACAACATTTACATTGGTAGACTGAATAAAGTAGACTGCCCTCTAGAATGTGGGTGACCCTCATCCAATCAGTTGATGGCCTGAATAGAACAAAAAAGAGTGACCCTCACCCAAGGAAGAGTTGTTTTTTTTTTTTTTTTTGCTTTCAGAGTCAAACTGAAACTTTTGCTCTTCCAAATTCTCACACTTTCAAAGTCAGACTGGAAGTGCACCATCAGTCCTCCTAGGCCTCCAGTTTGCTGACTCCCACTGCAGCTCCCTGAGACTTGCTAGCCTCCATAACAGCAAGAGCCAACTCCCTATAATAATGAGTGCCTCTCTCTCTCTCTCTCTCCTTCTCTGTATCTCTCTACATATGTATATGTATAGGCTCTGTTTTACACCAAGGACACTAAACATCCTACAATGTCAGTGGCAACCCTATGGAGAAATACTGCTCCAGTTAGGTAGAAATTTTAGTCCTGGTGGCAGGCTGGATGTAAAAAGTATGCCTTCTTACAAGAAGATGTGCCTTCTAATATTTCTCCAATCATCCCATATAAGATGACTATCTCAAAGAGTTTGCCCTCTTAGTTGTACAGTCTTATGTAGTTAATCTAAAGTAGCCCATAAATACTTGGTAAAATAAAAATCAATACTAAAATTTACCTTCTTTCTCTGCACACATACATTTTTTAACAATCGGATACTGGTAGCCCATAGTTGTTTTGTAAACTCTACATTGCTTAAAGATTTTCTCTTTTGCTTGGAAGACTTATAAATATGGATGAAACTAAGCAAATCTTTTCCAAGATTCCCTCAAAAAAACAATTTTGTCAATATATAAAAGTCAAGATGTTGCTGTTGGCCAAGATGTAAATAGACCAACCTCAAATAGACTAGCTGTGAGTTCTTCCAATTCCTGTCCAAGTTGATCTCGCACTTTTGAAAGCCTCTCACATTCTTCATCTTTTAACTTCAGTTCCTAAGAGAAATTGACAATTTTATTTTGGATCTCCATCGTTTGAAGTTAGGTTCAGCAGACTATATAATCTTTATTAATAAAATTATAAAATATGAATACTGTCACTTCCTACCATGTTCACATTGAAAATATTTACCTAGCACCTGCTATGTGAAAAACAATCAGGCGAGTCCAAAATTACAGAAAATCCTAACAAACAAATTAAGTTTTCAGATTTCTTTCATAAAATATCCAAAAATTAAAAATAAATATATATGACAGGTGAAAATAAACAGTAAAATGACTTAATTCTTGTTTTAAAATGTTCATGAAAGAAAATGACCCCCCAAAATATGTATTTTGCTATATTTATTTCCATCAAGCAAGAAATTTAATTATGCATATTAATTTCAATAAAAATTCACTTGTTTTCATGTTTACTTTAAAAGCTATTTATTTATAGGTAACTTCATGTACCACACTGCAATTAATCTAAAATATCTATTAGGAGACTATGCCCATTAAACAATATAACCAGATATAAATGATGCATATTTGCATTTAAAAATCAAGAAAAATGTTAACAAAAATCACATTCTATATTTATATTCAATTCCTCACCAAGTCACATATAGATGCTTTAAAATTCCTTTATTCAGGTATTAAAAATAGGCAATTATGTAGGCTGAAAAGTAGCCTTAAACTAACCTTTCAAAAATAGGGAAGGAAAAGAAAAATCTAAGCTCCTTACATATTAGTCACAATTAAATTAATAAAACAACGAGTTAGTGGTGTTATAATTGTAGTGGCAGTATAGTCTTTTAATCCCCCAAAGACAATTCCTAAAAAACAGATATACCAAGAAGGATATGAGACGATCTCAATGAAACTAGGTAAAAGAAAATCCCCACAATTCTCAGAATATTAAGAGAATGTGGATAAACTGCTCACAATGCATGATCAGTAGCTACACAAAAGCAGCAGGAAATTAAAGCTACAACAGAGGTACCCTACAAAGCAACAAAACCCAAAAATCACTATAAATACTCCACAAGCACAGGACTCTATCCTTGGAGAAACCTGGGAGAGCAAATTTAAGAGTAAATGGAAAGAAAGGAAGAGGTTTTCACAGGCTCCAAGATGCAGGTGAGTGTAAAAACCTGTATAGCCAGTCCTGTAGACAGCAAAGGGTGCTATGAAGCTCTAAAGTCTCAAGCTCCTTAGAAGTATGTAACAAAGAGCCCTCACCAGAAGGACACAGTCTCATCCTAATGAGAAAAAAACTCTGCAATTTCAAACAAAACTGCAGGGCAATGAAGACAGGGAGAAAGAAGGATCATATATAAACAGGGAAGGGACTAGCAAAGTTCCAAAGGAAACAGTTCAGAGAGAATACCGTAAAGACAAAATAAGTATCTTATGATGGGATACTAAACATGCAAAGCTCTCAGAAACAATGTGCTATAAGAGAAAAACCCTTTTGACCAAGGCTTACCTAAGAGACAAAAGTGGATACACACACACACACTCCATTAACAACAGAGAAGACAGACTTTGAAATGTAAACTGACAAAGCTATCCTGATTTATTCTTTCACAGGAACCTCTTCCTAATAGTCCAGGGAAATCCACATCATTTAAACACAGGAAGCAAAAACATGTAAAGTTATCAAAATAATAAAGTTAAGTACAAAGACAAGTCACCTACAAGGGAAAGAAAATAAGAGTGGTACTAAATTTCAACAGCAACATTTATGTTAGAAAACAATGAAGTAACATTTTTAAGATACTCAAAGGAAAAAATGTGAGCTGAGTATTTTTTTTTGAGACAGAGCCCCACTCTGTCACCCAGGCTAGAGTGCAGTGACGCGATCTCAGCTCACTGCAAACTCCGCCCCCTGGGTTCAAGCGAGTCTCCTGCCTCAGTCTCCTGAGTAGCTGAAACTACAGGCACACGCCACCATGTCTGGCTAATTTTTTGTATTTTTAGTAGAGACAGGGTTTTGCCATTTTGGGCAGGCTGGTCTCAAACTCCTGACCTTAGGTCATCCTCCCATCTCAGACTCCCAAAAGTGCTGGGATTATAGGCATGAGTACAGGGATTACACCACGCCCAGCCAATCTGAGTATTTTATATCCAGCCAAGTGTCCTTCAGGTATACGACCACAAAGTCATACCTTCAAGAACTTAGAAAATATCTCTCCTATGAGCTTGCCTGAGTGGACCAGAGAACTTTCAGATTGGAAAAAAAAAAAAACTGGAGAAGCTCTAACATGATGATGGACTGGGGTAAGAAGAAAATACATCTAACTTTAGAATTACAACTAAAAGATGGGAGTATCAAGAGAATGAGAAGACAAGACACAAATTGAGAAAAACTATTTGCAAATGACTTATGTGATAAACTACTGTTATCCAAAATATACAAATAACATTTAAAACTCAACAGTGAGAAAAAAACAACCCAATTAAAAACTGGGCAAATGACCGCAACAGACAATTCACCAGAGAAGACAAACACACAGATGACAAATAGCATGAAAAGATGATGAACATTATATCTCACTAAAGAACCACAAATTAAAACAATAGATACCTACATAAATACTAGAATGGCCAAAACTCAGAACACAAATTAGTGGTGTTGTAAATGTGGTGGCAGTATAGTTTTTTAATCCCCAAAGGGGGATTAAAACTGGTAATACCAAATGCTAGAGAGAATGTGAAACAAAAGGAACTTTAATTTATTGCTAGTGAAAATGAAAAATGGTAAAGCTACTTTGAAAGATAGTATGGCAATTTCTTACAAAGCTAACCATACTCTTACCATGGGATCGAGCAATCACACTTCTTGGTATTTGCCTAAATTATTCAAAAACATTTCCACATAGAAACCTGCAAATATACGTTTATAGCAGCTTTATTCATTCATAATTGCCCAAACTTAGAAGCAACCAAGATGGCCTTCACTATTTAAATGGTTAAATAAACTGTGGTACATCCAGACAGTGGAATATCATTTTATGCTAAATGAACTATCAAGCCATGAAAAGACATAAAAGATTAAGTGCACATTACTAAGTGAAAGAAGCCAATCTGAAAAGGCTACACACTATTTGATTCCAACTGTAAGACAATCTGGAAAAGACAAGACTACAGAGATATTAAAAAGCTCAGTGGTTGCCAGGGTTTATGGGGAGAAAGGGATGAGCAGGCAGAGCACAGAGGATTTTTAAATCAGTGAAACTATTCTGTATGATAGTACCATGGTACATTATGCATTTGTCAAAATCCACAGAATGTACAACACCAAGAGTGAACCCTAATGTAAACTAGGAACTTTGGAAGATAATGTGTCTATGGAGGTTTATTAACTCTAAGAAATGTATCACTCTGGTAGGGGATGTTAATAGTAGGGGATGCTGTGCATGTGTGGGGACAGCAAGTATATGGGCAGTCTACTTTCAATTTTGCTGTGAACCTAAAGCTGCTCTAAAAAAGTGTCAATTTTTAAAAAATGGAGATGAAACTGACAAAATGTATAAATGTCATATAAGCTCAAGGGATGTAAAAATAACACACATTATTAAAAAAAAAAAAAAACCACAAGAAAGATGAAACCAAGTGTACTAACTTAAGTATTAGCCTGGAAAAAAAAGAGTTAAAACTTGAAGCTCTCAAATCAACTGGGATAAACCCAAGTACATTTATGAATATAATGACTGTCATTAAGATAATACTTGTAACTAAAATTAAATGATACAAGAAAAGGAAATTAACAATTATTTAGTATTGTTTATGGAAGGAAACAAAGGTAGTGTATAAAGATGTTTTAAGAAATATAAGTGATTAAAAATAAAACAAAAATCAAACCTTCTAAAATACTAACTAAAAAAAGAGAGAGAGAGATAGGAGGAATCAAGCACACTAGTGCCTAAGCAGGAAGTTTCATCTGCCCACTGATAGTGTTCTTGGCAACAGACCTGAAAGTTACCCTGTAAATTGGCTCCAATCCCTCCGCAACCCAGCCACTGGCCCACCTTATTACTGTTTGCACAAGGACCCAGAGGAAGATTTACCCGTATCCCACAATGCAGGAATGATTTGTCTGTCTGAGCCTCCTTGAAGGACCTGCCAGCCTTTGTCCCAAGCAGATCCTAAAGGATCCCACTCCCCGCTCCAGCCCCTCTCACTGCAGTCACGGAAATGCCCTACCTGTGCAGGGAGCTTCTCGGGGGAAGCTTGTCTGCCTGGGCTAACCATGGTGGGTTTGCCTGCCTCTGTCTCAAAGCAGTGAAGGAGCACAGACTCGGCTCCAGCCTCTCTCACTGCAGGTAGTCTCATCCATGTAGGAAACTGCTCCAAACATGCATGTGGGCCACAGGGGCAAGCTCACCAGCCTCCATCCTACAGCAGAGTGTAAGGGGACCCAGTCTCAGCTCCAGTTCCTTTTGCTGCAGTTGGGGAACTGTCCTATCAGTGCAGGGAACTGCTAGGAAACACCCATCTGTCTAAGCCAATGGGGCAGAATTCCAGGTTTGGGTCCTTGGTCAACTTTTTCACAGGGTACTCCTACCTTGGGTCATCATCAGGTATATTCCGGCTGGAATACCACGTCATCCTGGAAGCCCTCGTAAGACTAGCAGTAAACGTGGGCTTAAGGCGCCCTCTACCGCTGAAATGGCTGCAGCACTAACAGGCTTGACAACAGCCAGTCTAGGCAAAGACTTGAATAAATAATTAATTTGTTAATAAGCAGACATCAATGTACATCCACAAGCATTAATATCAGGGAATTATAACTTCACCAAAGAGACAACATAAGGTGTCAATAAATAAGATGTTAATAACAGACCCTAAAAAGATGGAGATGTGTGATCTGTCATAATAAAAATCAAACTAGCTGTGTTAAGGAACTTAACAGTGAACTTCAAGAAAATACAGATAAACAATTCAGAAATTTATCAGAAAAATTTAACAGAGACCTTGAAATAATGATAATAAATATTCGCTAGCTGGAA